GCTAATTTTAACCGTCGGTTAATCTAACCGGGCTTGGTGAAATTGGCCCTTAAGCACAATCTTAAGATGTCCTAAACCAATCATAAGAGCCGTATTAGCATCTTAACCCATACAGCACAGAACATTGCAATTACATTGCAGTAATGTTACAATCTTGCAAGTGTCAATGTAATATTGTTGAGACATTATTGGAACATGTAATTGTAATATTTCATGAGAATGTTACAACAACATTCCAAAAGCATTACAAAAACAGTTTTCAGTAACCGCTAGTTCGTTCGTTTACCGCTATACGACGCCCGTTGCATTATATATCTCGTATTTAAGTTTCAGTCATGATGATTATATAAAGCTTGCAAAGAGCGGCTAGTAAGATTAAAGATATAACTATTTTTATCAGTTTAATTTATCTGATACGATCCCAACACAGGGAATTTAGATATTGAATTGATTGTTCAACCGGACAAATAAATGTTCGAAAAAGTTAAAATTATCCGTTTATTGTTTACTTAAGATAGACAAATAGACTGTAAAATAGAGTCTAATATCTATATAAATAAAATTTTAACATTTATGAATTAAATTATTAAATTATTATCAATTTCTTAAACGTAAATTATTTATAAAATAGTGATGTTAATTAAATAACAGAAAATTGTTCAATAGTTTCCATTCCTATATATATAAAATCAAAAAGTTGATAATAATTTTTTAATATGCAGAATACTTCGGATTTAAATAGATAAACCTTGAGAATATATATAAAGACATCCAAGAGAGACGAGAAAAAACTCGTTGTAATTGCGTAAATTCACAATCTTTTTTCTTATCTCTCTCTTGGATGTCTTTATATATTCTCAAAATTTATTTATTAAATTTGAATCATTCTGTATATTTGTAGTAAGGCATTCCAATATTACAAATACATTGCACCGTAACATTATTGTAATCTTACATTGTAATATTTCTAAGGGCGGACATTTCAACGTTGCCGCAGGCTTGCAGTAACATTGCAGAAACATTTCGCAACTTCTATGCAATATTACAATGTTTCAATGCAAGGTCTATGCAACGTTTCTACAATCTTTCGGTGCTGTATGGGAAGACATTATTCAAGACGGTCTTGAAATAAGAACTGACTATGAATACCGGCCTAGGTATCACTAGAATCCTATATAATCAGAGAAGCGACAATGGCGTTCCGCTTGCTGATTGGCTGACTGCCATGGGTCCGTTCCACTTAATGATCGCAACGCTCACGGTATCATTTCATCTTTGTTGTTCACCGAAAGTTAAACAAAGACAGATGATGCTCGCGAGCGTTGCGGTCGTTAAGTGGAACACGTCCTATGTTGATCCCGTAGTGAATCCTACGTGCAAACTAACCGCAACCGGCGTACCGTAA